AATGCAAAAAAAAAAAAAAAAAGAGTGGATAAATAAATAAATAATTCAAAAAGAAAAAAAAAAGTCAAGTCTAACCCACATGGCAGGCATCATGGCCAGGAGAGGACTCCAGCTCTCTTCTGGGTAGGTGCTAAAGGCCAGAACATGGGCATCAGAAAACACTTGGGAAATGGGAAACAGGTTGGATTTCCTCATTGGCCAATTTGAATGCAGGGCACCCAGGGACAGTGGGAGAGAGAGGGAAAAGGAACAAAGAAAAGAAGAAAGAGATTAAGAGATCAGTGGGCAAACAGAAGAGAGATCAAGCAATGGAGGAACAAAAAGAAGATACAACAGGTTGTATTTAGTTGCCTAGGTAAAGAAAAGCAATATCGGCTCTGTGGGCCCACTCTTTTTTTGGAGAGGTTTTTTTTTTTGTTTTGTTTTGTTTTTTGCTATAGGGCGCGTGCGCTCGCCAGACAGACAGAGAGAGATAGAGAGACAGAAAGCGAGAAATCACCCCCCAGGGGGGATGGCCACGCCGCAATCCCTTCTCCTCCATTCTCCTCTCGGGATCTTGGGCACGCACGCACACGCACCCGGCGTAAGCCACCGGGTCTGGGATGTGAACCGCGGTCGACTATGTGGGAGTCCAGCGACATAGCCATTACGCTAACTGCTGGTCTGTGGGCCCACTCTTCACTGGATGACAGTGGGGTCTCTTTTGAACATTTTGACTTGACTGTTGTAATCACCATCATGGTTCTGTTCATTATTCATCCCAGAGGGTGGCTATCATTTCAGATCACATGGGTATACCAGAAGGCTAATATCATCCTCCAAATATCCCATGGGACATAGAGGGGATGGGCCCTGTTGTCCTTGCCAGGAAGCATGGACATATTGCCTATTCAGCAGTCCAGCAGGAGAGGATGTGCAGAGGCATGCTGGCACCTTGTCAAAGGCAACCTCTGCAATGTTTTGGCATAACTAGTAGTAGAAGCTGGGTTTTGGAAGAGCAGGAGCCATGACACCTGGGTTCCAATTCTAGCTTTGCTATAAAGAAAATCTGTAACCTGGAGTGAGTTATCTCTTGTTTCTGAACCTCAGTTCCTTCATTTATTAGGGGAGTAGGGGCGATTATGTGGCCTACATTCCGTTTATTGTCTCTTGAGGGGCACAGTCAGGTCATGGGATGATGGGAAGATGAGAGGATGTGAAGCTGGCGATGTGGAAAGTGGGACGACTACAGCAAACCTCTCTTCCTGGCTGTACTTTTGCTCTGGCTCTGGGGCCTTGGGGATATGACCCTGTGGGTTGCCATAACAACAAAGTTTCAAGGCCAGTAGTGCTCGGCAGTACAATGAAGTCTCAGTGGTGCTGAGAGGCCAGAGGGGGTGGTTGGGGGACTCTTCCCATCCCTATTCCAATATACCTGTAGGCCTCTGGGATTCCAGATTGTACTGTGGGTCACTACAGAGGAACCAGTCAGTAAATACTGAAAAAGAGGTGTGGAATCATCTGGATAGAGGTTTGTCAGAGAACATTTTACAATGGTTTGTCAGAGAGGTTTGTCAGAGAGCATTTTACATTTTACAAAATACAAAGCATTTTGCAGACTCCTGACCCTCATATCTCAATACCAGAATTGCCCCTTATTGTAAAGAAAAATGTGAAAAAGGAATGATGGAAACCAGAATCTATTGAATTTGTTTTTGTACCTGGCTCTGTACATTTCCACCTTTATGATGAAAGTAGCAATAGTTTCCTTTGTAGATGAGAACATTGAGGTCAGAGAGTATACTTGTCCCAGTTTACCTAGTACATCAAGAAACCAGAGCTAGCCCTACTCTTGGGGTTACCCCATGATTCTTTTCCAAGTTACCCAGTATGATAGGTGAACACCTTGGACTAGAACTAGGAAGACCAGGTACACAGGTTATTGATGTGGCTGAGCTCTTCCTTCTCAGGTGTGGCCTGCTTCCCCCAGGTCTTCAGCATGAGACCCTTCTTACCTGCACTGACAGTGATCGCCTCCATGAACTGGTCCCTCCAGGAATGGGTCCCAACAACCAGGGCCAGGTTTGTCTTCTTGATCAGTTTGTCCACTGTAGACTGTCAGGGAGAGAGAAACTTGGAACCATGAGGTTAGAATGCTCAGAACAATGAGGAGTCTGGTGCTTCAGAGGAATGAGAGCTGCCCTGCAATCCAGGAGGTTCTGAAAGTTATGCATGCACTAATGGCCTTGGGTGGTATCTTCTGGGACAATTCTTCTATTTCCCATTTCTTTGTCTTCTGACACTGGATGTTTAGAGTAAGGAAATAGAGAATAATGATAAAGTTGTCAAGGGACCAGCAGTTAGTGTAATGGCTATATCTCTGGACTCCCATGTAGTTGACCATGGTTCAAGTCCCGGACCCAGTGGCTTAAACTCATGCCGGGCACATGTGCATGCATGCCCAAGATCCTGAGAGGAGAAAGGCGGAGAAGGGATTGAGGAGTGGCCATCCCCCTGGGGGGGTGGGCAGTGATTTCTTGCTTTCTGTCTCTCTGTCTCTCTCTGTGATGTCAATAAGTCTTGGCCTGTAGTGGTGAGTTTTAGTATCTTTGTTTAAAAAAAAAAATAGAGTTTGACAATAGTGATAACCCAGCTAGGAGTTTCTAGCCCATTTATCCCATACCCTATATTATGTTTCCTCACAATATTCCCAGCATACAAATGGCCAGTATTATTTGTTTGATTTTACAAGTGGGGAAATCAAGACCCAGGATGGAGAAATGATTTACTCAGTTTCAACTTCACACATTCAGTGGTGAAACTGGAATAAGACCCCAGGTTTTCCACCTCCCACTTCAATGAATCTATCATTTGATTAGACCTCACTGATGACCTGACCTTGAACTCATAGGACTCTTCAATGATGACCTCTAGTTTGGGGTGTTCACCCAACACTGGCTTTCCCATTTCTGCTATCCTCTTGGCCTCCTCTTCCTCCACAGTCAGCTTCCTGTCAGTTACCTCTGCAACAAAACAAAATCAGACTAGCTTTAGCACCTTTGCCGTTCCCTGGAAGTCTATAGCTCAGAGTATTAGATGTGGGCACTGAGTACACAGCAAATAGCTCTCAGGAATGGGGACCTTGTGTATTGTTTAGCGTCTCTGTCTATAAAGTGTGGAACACTTTATGACCACTGGACCATAACAGGGTTCCTTTAAGCCTGGGATTTCTTATTTTGTTTTATACCTGGGTGGGCACCCTGACCCAAAGACCTTCTAAGAATTAGTACCAAGTAAAGTTCCCAAGTCATTCAGTGAGATGGTGGGGTGCTTGGAGAAAAACGTATCAAATCTCTTGACCTTTACCAATTTTAAAATTAGTGGGCCTGTTTGTTTAACTTCTTCAGTAAGTTCTTAGGTGTAAGGAAGCACATTTATTAAAAGAGAATGTCTACTGGTTCACATTAACATCTATTTCCAACACCATTGGCATTATCCCCTCTATAAAGGTGAAAGGGGAGATGTTTCCAGGAGTATCTGTATTTCATATAAGGGGATATTATCCTCACAATGACAGACTTGGAAGATTTCCCAAAAAAACTTCATGATGTTCCAATGGAAGATCCCCAGGATTTCTATACAAATCAGGCACATTTCTTCTGGAACACAAACATTTGCTCAAACACAAAATGAAATAAAGCTCTTCCTTTACTTTCTTCTGAGGCACTCTGTGTCCCCGGGCATCTTGACTCATTTACCAATGGTCCCTTTGCACGTTGAACAGTTAGAATTTTTTTCCGCTTCAGCTGGTGAGTCCATCTTAAGACCACTTCACCATGAAGACATGTTTTTTGGATTAGAGTGAAATAGAGATTGAATCTTTTTATTCCCCTTTGATTAGAAAATTGCTCTTGGCAGCCTGTTTCTTTCAGAGCTCATTTAAACATCTTCCCATCCAAGTCCACATTCTCACATGCAATTAATTCTTTTATTCGGCTCCTTAATTGCTTTCATTCCACACAGTAAACCTCCCAGGGGAATCCTCTAGTCCTCAGATAATCTCAAGGACAAAATGGGTCAGAGGCCAAGAAGGTCTTCTTTTCTCTCTAGCTGGAGAATTACTGAAGCGAGAGGAGGAATGAGACTCATGCTCTTGTGATTGCAAGGCAAGGAATTCACTGAAAAGACTATCAGCCAAGGGGCATTTTTTACCAAGCAGAAAGCCTTGAATTTTATTCAGTTTTATTTAAGGATGTTTTCAGTTGGGCTCTGTAAAAATGGTATGAGAGTATGCAGAGGATTCCTGAGCTGTTTTACTTCATTTTTTCTGGCACCAAACACAAAAGATCATCTCCAAATACAGAGGAGCTGTCCGTGGTGCTGTCCTCTCTCTCATGTTGGTGGCCACTTTTGGAAACCATTTTTTTCTCAAGGATCTACGGCCTTCTTCAATATTTTCATGTCAGTAAACACCACCCTCTAGCAGCCTTTCATGGCCTTCTGAAATATTTTCAAGTCAGTAAACACCACCCTCTAGCAGCCTTTCATTTAATTAATTAAATCTGAATCTCTGATTAGTTCATTTTGAAGAGAAATATGGGTACATCTAGGGTTCTAGCTATGAGGCTCGCAATCCTAGAAAACAGACTGCAAGACTCTAGCTATGAGGGAGGCTCGCAATCCTAGAAAACAGACTGCAAGCCACTGCAGAAAACAACCCTTGGGAAAATACATGTAGCATTCCTTAGTAGAATGGGCACATTTTCTTTTAATTGCTGGTGTTGGCACCATGTCACAATGCTTAGCTAAGCAGTAACACTATTATTCCACTCCTCCCTCCGCAATCCCCCCATGTCATAAATTACATGTGCCACAAGAACTTTATGAACATAACGAGTCCTCCAGTGGCATATAAATGCACCTGTCTAACCACTTGTCTGGCTATCAATCTAGCACTATATACGTCTGGCAGGATACTGATCTAACTCCTGACCTGTCCGCCCCTGTGGTGACAGTCAGTTTGTCCATCTGACTTTATGCAAAAATTCGTTTGACAAATAACCAATCCCTAATTGTGGATCTCCCACTGCCTGCAGAGGCACTCTGTATATATCTGTTAATTGACTGATGCACATGCCTTTAAATCAGATGTGATTTAGTGTCTTGGTTTGGCAACAATTCCTGCCCTTTTCTATTTTTGTAATGGTCATTTCTTTAAATTCAAATTAAATGAACTTCTTGAGAGAATGATAAGTCTCTAACTTAAAAGGCCATAGTGATTCTGATCACGTGTGAATGTGCCTCCTTAGAATTTCAAGAGAATAAATTATGGGTGATCTTGATATTCAGATTTACTAAACAAACTCCCAGTTCTAGAAATAGGCATAGAAAGAGCAGGGAGGAGAGAGAGAGCGGGAATATGAAAAGAATGGAGCATTGAACAAATATTGGGAGAACAAAGACCTTGCCAGGCCAGACAAGAATAGGTTACTGTAAATGATCTGCAGGCATCCTCAGAAAGAAGTAGGGTGATAGAGACAGCCTCTCCACGGTCTTGAGCCTGGTGAGGAAGCTCAAAACGAGCGTATTTACTCTCTGTCTTTCACCACAATGTTTTGTTAATCATGTTTGCCTGTCCACCCAGGAACAGGCCTTGTTAATCATGTTTGCCTGTCCACCCAGGAAAATTAGAATAAGGATTTAAGATTGCCAGTGAATTTAAGGTCTAGTCAAGAGCTCCTAAATTAAAAGTTTACAGATTGGAAAAGATACTCTTTTCTCTCCTTTAGCTTCTATTTGGTACTTGCAAGTATATTTAAAGTATAAAGAAGTTTTTAATTAAATCATAATATTTGTTGTATATGTGCATGTGTGGGGGGATAGAAACAAGAGTTGGAACAAAGAAATCTAAATACCTTCTCAGACAAGAGGATGAGTGAAGTGTAGAAGAAAGACATACTGCTATAAAATAAATAACTTGGAAGAAGAGTGGGGAATACAGGACTGGGGGTAGCCTTTTTCCTGTTAATATAAAAAGGAAAATAAGAAGTCAAGAATGTTGGAGTATTTTTTTTTTCATGAAAGGGAAATATAAGAGCTATCTACATTTTTCAAAGACACTAAGGGGGCAAATCCGTACCAGGTACACTGCCCTTTCCCAAACCCAAACTGTAGCCTGTAGGTGACTTTGAATGCCAGTGAATTCTATAAGATGTTTTGCTTCTTAAATGACCTGAAATTCTTTTCAATGTTCAAAGAACTGATAAAATGTAAAATTTCCTTTTAAAATATATTAGAACTGTCTGGTATAGCCCACTTTGCCTGTACCAAGAGTTAGAGCATGACTGGATCATTGGAAAAGCTTTTTAAACTATCTGCTCACTAAGTTGGATGTTTATGATTAGTTTCTTCTCCAGCAAGCATAATCTCCAAGTAAGTGTATGTCATACACAAAATCTAGATTCTGTATGTGAATATCTTAGAAATAAATTCTCTAAGCTTTATATTTCTAGCTAGAACACTGCCTCTACTCCCATAACATAGTAATTCTTCTTGTTCATGGAACATGTAACTTTAAAGAGCAGTGACAAATGAACCAAAATTCTAACAATGTAGGTCTTAGTTCTAATGAGATGAAAGATCTCCAGGATTGGTAAAATACCAGGTTCTTTAAAAATTGTTTTTCATGTTCTTACAGCAGCTCTTGATTATTTTTCCCTGGATTCCTTGGGATCAAAGCATTTTCTTTCAAATCCCATCATAAACCTATTAGGAGATTCCATCTCTGATTCCTACCCTTTCTTCCCCATGACATGAGATGGCAGATGAATTAAGACTCAAAGAAATCTATGACCCACCATCTCCTTGGTAAGTCTAATTTCTCTTCCTGGTCTCAGAAAGGTCAGCTATACCTTTTGCCACATCTACTGACAGAAATGATGTTCAAGGAATTATCTACTTTCTTCACAATTACTTTTGTGGGGAAATAAATCTCCTAGTCTTTGGGAGAACTTGTCAGATTAACATGAGTATGTAGTTCCTACCAAATAAATCCAAAGACTTTGGTCTTAACCAAATAATGGCACTGGCAAGAAGTGGAAAAGAGGGGGCAAGATACCTCTTACCTGGAGACAACAGGAGCGCTGATTGCAAATGGATACCAGACAAGGGGAAGAAAGAAAAGGAAAGAACATTAAGGTCCCATCTTTAAAGTATCCCCAGGCTTTGTGGTTGCTTGCAGCTGAAGGAAAGCAGTGAGCTCAGTAGGTGACAGCTCAGCAGCCACATGCGAAAAGCAGCATCTGGAGCATGCGCAGCAGCAGCAAGAGATGTGAGCAGCTGGAGAGGCTGCTGAGCAGAGCCCAGAGCCATAAAGTTAGGAGAGAATTTCCCCCAGGCCTTCCATGCAACCCTATGGGCCAGGGATAGAGGAACGAGGATGAGGGAACCAAGTAGCATAGAAGAGACCAAGTCAGTCTCTCATGATCTTCAGGGTATCAGGTTGGCACATCCATTCTGAAAAGGAGTGAGAATTCACTTACTATGAAAACTGGGTAGGTTGTAACCCTGCCAGAAAAGCTAGCTTACCAATGGCAAATATGACCATAAGCTTGAATGGTAGCTCAGGTGGCTAGTAGTGTGCAAGAGTAGGACACTGCCTTTTCCTATGTCATCTATCCCCTACGACATAATCAAATTGTGCTCAGCTTTCCAGCCCCCCATGTTTCCACAGTCATGGTGGTTTCCAAGCCACTATGTTGGCCAGAATTTTGATTTCCACTAAAAAACAACTGAGTGAAAAGGTAAGTCTTGTAGATCATTTTCCTTGAATTGTTTGTGTTTTTATAGATATAGCACAGAAATTGGAACCATGGATTCCTACCATTTTGTATGACTTCTGTCTGCAAAGTCCCTGCAAGAACTCAGTAAACATTTGTTGTTTGCTGCCTATTCTGCCTTTCCATAGATCCTATGTGTTGCATGTTTGAGTTGGAGTCTTTTTTGTTCCAGAAAGGGCTGGCTAAATCAGAAACAAGATATTCTGTAACAGATAGACTCTCATACCAATTGCTATGTGTTCATGGGAGACAAATGAAAGGTTCCTATGTGGATTGGGAAACTGGTTAGACATAGCCAATATAGTTTGTCCCTACCCTCTCTTAAAATTCAGGTCCAAAAATAATGCAAATCCTTGTGATACATCACATTTTCATCTTGATGGTATGTTAGTACAACCCCTTACTCCTTGGCTTTTATCAGATAAAGGTCTTGAAACACCTTGCCACACAGTCTGGGTGTAGCTGGTGACTGATGGAGACTGCTGAGGAAGGACTGTGTGTTTGTGCATGGTAATGGTGGTGGGGGGGCATCTATGAGTTGTTTCTTTGAAGAATTTCTAAAAATGCAAATCTATGATCCATTATCCTATATTCACAGCCACTGAAGACATGTGAATCCTGAATCTTCATGGTATATAAACAGGGCAAACAGAAGTTGACTTTTTCCTCTATTTCTAGAATTTCAAAGGGCAATGGATCAATGGATCTCTTTACCTATTCTGCCTTTCCATAGATCCTATGTGTTGCATGTTTGAGTTGGAGTCTTTTTTGTTCCAGAAAGGGCTGGCTAAATCAGAAACAAGATATTCTGTAACAGATAGACTCTCATACCAATTGCTATGTGTTCATGGGAGACAAATGAAAGGTTCCTATGTGGATTGGGAAACTGGTTAGACATAGCCAATATAGTTTGTCCCTACCCTCTCTTAAAATTCAGGTCCAAAAATAATGCAAATCCTTGTGATACAATCACATTTTCTCTTGATGGTATGTTAGTACAACCCCTTACTCCTTGGCTTTTTATCAGATAAAGGTCTTGAAACACCTTGCCACACAGTCTGGGTGTAGCTGGTGACTGATGGAGACTGCTGAGGAAGGACTGTGTGTTTGTGCATGGTAATGGTGGTGGGGGGGTATCTATGAGTTGTTTCTTTGAAGAATTTCTAAAAATGCAAATCTATGATCCATTATCCTATATTCACAGCCACTGAAGACATGTGAATCCTGAATCTTCATGGTATATAAACAGGGCAAACAGAAGTTGACTTTTTCCTCTATTTCTAGAATTTCAAAGGGCAATGGATCAATGGATCTCTTTACCACATTGAGTCAGATAGGTAGGTAGATAGCAAGAGAGCTTGTTAAGTCTGCACTTTCCATGGGTCTGCATGGAAAAGTCCCTTTGGCCCCTTCAATATCCAATGGAGACCAGAGATCCCAACATATCAATGTCCCTAGGCAGAAGAGACAAAGACAGCTCTTCCAAAAAGGTGTTTGATGGCCTGGTTTTCACTCAGATATCCCTTCTAACACTTGGGACACATCTGCCTAGAGCAGTAGAAAGGCCTGAAGTTGGCTGTAATTGCATTACTCTGGTCACTGTCTCCGTGAATTCAAGACTTTCTACTTGGCAGTTATAGACTGGTCAGCGAGATCCAGGTAGGCCAACTTTGAGTGACATAATACCTCGAGGGTGTTTTTCCTGCTGCTGCTTATGGGAGAAGCTGGCGCTGAACTATGCCCGGTATTGATCTCCAGGGTCAGGTGAGCAACATTTATCTCTTTTCAGACACTTCAGGCACAAGCAGGAAAGTATACAGCTCTGAGTAATTACGAAGCATCTGGGCAGCTTGTCAGGGCGAGTCCACAGGTATAGAAAGATGGGGAACAAACAGGCCCCATTCATGGGAAAGATGGCTTTCCTTTCCCACCTGAGCCTTCCGATGTCCAGGTTCATGCCCCAAAGCCCTTCTGCTCAGTGTTGCTCTCAGAAGTCCACTTCTTGACTCCAGGGCTTACTCCACCCTAGGTAAATTGTTTCCTATTCACTTCCCCCTTTCTTCCTCTCCCAACTTGTCCAGAGCTTTCTTTTTATCTCACCTCTGAAGTCTGTTTTGTTTGCTGAGAACAGAGCCTCTTATTTCAAATTCAGTCCTTTTTTTTTTTAAATGCAATTGTCATTTTGACCATGCAGAGACTGTGTTGTTCTGAATGTCTAAGACTTTCCCATGCAGTAGTGATAATGAAAAACAATTTCCACTGTACCGTCTCTCACTCTGTGAACAGCAGGGAATACTAGAAATCACAATGGGTTTTCACTTGATTCTAAGTCTAGATCATCATGTTTTTTGAACTTTCACCTTAAGATCTGATGTCAAAATATGAGAAGAAATGAAGGAACTGAAATTCAACCCTATAGACAATAGAAAAGGAGTCTGGAAAATTGACACATTTCTTATTGACAACTTCATCATGGCAACTTGATCATTGGGAAGATCTGAGTTCATATTACACAGATAGCTTGATGAAATTCTTGCTTTCTCACACATTCCATCTCCCAGAACTAGGAACTATCAGAGGTTTTCTGACATTTCCGTGAACAAAGAATCCAATGCAAAAAGAGAAGGTGTCCTCAAGTGGAGGAATAGCCATAGGTTGTTACATTTAGCCAGGTCTCTTGAAGAATATAAGGCTTATATTAAGCCATTCTCTATTTTGTTGATAGGAATTTTTAGGGGAGGCAGAAAAAAGCCCCAGTACTGTCAAATAAAGGCATGTACAGACTTCTAATCCCTTTCTCTTACCTGGATCTACTGCCCTCTTTCCAGCTACCCTGTAGTATACCTTTTTCTGCTTCTATTTGCACCTAAGTAGTGGGGACTGTGTAAATGGATAAAGCTGGATTACAATATCCTTGGCATCCATTGCTTCCAACCAGACATGGAGATGTGGAATAAATGTACAAAGGAGGTGGGAATGAGGCAGAACAGGCGCTGAGACAACTTCTGAGAATATTCTTGGTGGCAGGTGTATCTTCCAACTGGAAGATTGGCAGGAATACAATGTGGGAAGCAACAAAGTCAAGACGTTTTCTTTCTTCAGGTCCATCTCATTTGGTGGCTAAGAAGAAGATAAGCAATGAAAGATGTAGAGGGCTTTTGACCTTTGAGTACCAGGTATGTCCAAAGCAGTACAGGCACTGAACTGGTCAATTTTGCAGACAGAATCCCCAGCAGACAATTGAGAACTGACCAGTAATATAGGTGTGAGAGGAGGACCTGTAGAGGAGAGGTTGGGAGTGTTGCAAATCTCTGCTGAATCTCTTAGAGCTGTCCTTGAAGTGAAAGGTTTTATGTTGCTCGTTGTCATGTGAATATGAAGTAATTGCAAGATGATCACCCTTTTTTTACAAAAAGGTAGATTCTACTGCTGCTTCTCTATAAGGTTCTCAGCAGTATACCTCTCTTGCATGGATGTGTGAATGTCCTCTTGATATTTTACAAGAGCACTCTTACTCATCCCACATCTATGCCTCCAACACTTTCAAAGTAGTAGCTTCCATTGATTTTCTTCAAAGGAAGAAATCTTCCCTGACATCTGCCTTGGTTACAACATAATCAGCTCCTCAGGGATGAGACCCTAGCAAATATTCTGAGATGTATGTCCTAAGGAAAGAAGGAGATGAGCCATTTCTCTGGTACTGGGTGACGGTTATCTTGGGATCTAGGTGATATGCTCCCTTGAAGATGCCAAGCCAAGGTGGGCATCTGTGAATCATCCAACACCTGTGTCTCAGAGATCAGCTCCAATGACAGTATTTAGAATTCCTTCTGTTGGAAAATCTACAAGTCAGTACTTCAGGACTGTGTGATGTCAGTCCTTTGCCAGGGCCCACTGGCTAGGAGAATGTTCACATCTGGAGTTACTTCCTTCTTTTTGAAGACTCTACTTTCTGCTTTAGAGTTTACATTATCCCCAAGTAGCCTAAATAAGGTACTCTTCCTCGGGCTAGGAACAGGGGTAGAATAGGATAGGGTAGGGTACTAAGGAGAGGAAGAACAGCTCAGGACTGCAGATTGCATGACTACCTCAAAAGCCAGCTCTCTCAGAGAGCTCTCAGAGCCATGGCCTTTGACAATTGGTGCACCTTTCCATGCCACAGTCTGCCCAACTGTGAAGTAGCCAGATAGTACACTTACCTCCAGGAAGGGCAGAGGGGCCTATGGGCCACCCTGCAAGTGAATAACCTGTCAAGCATTCGATGGAAGTTGGGGAGTGCAGCAGAAAACTGTCAAAGCATCATTGCAACATGGGCCCCAACCCCCATCCCAGACCCTCCCACATTTAATCCAGGTTAGAGAGTGAGGGTGGCAAGGAAAGAAGGCAGGGGAGGGCACAGTCATGCATTGCATCACAATCTTTTCTTTTTCTTCTCCTCCCCACCCACCAAAGAGTTTTCAAGTTTATAGGTTGTAGGGTGCATGTAAAAGTTGGAGTGGGGTGCGGGAAGGGCAGAGTGCAGAGGATGGTGTCAATTGGACAACTGGATAAGTGTAGCAAAACACAGAAGTAACTCATTAGGGTAATGAGGAGTTGAGGCTGCAGTGCTGCCCAGAAGGGGGGGGGGGAAGGAGGAATTTGGAAATTAAGTTAAAGCTAAGAAGGCAGAGATGACACCGAAACAGAGTGAGAGCGAGAATACAGGAGGGAAAAGAATAAATAAGTCCATTGGTCAAAAGGAAAAAGGAGGAGAAGGGAAGAAAAGGGGAGAGGGAAAAATGAGTTGCTTTTCCATTTTAGTTGTTTTTCAGTTTGTTTAAATTTTTTCTTTCTTTCTTTTTGCTGTTGTTTTGTTTTTAAAGAATCTCACACCTGATATTCCACGTTCCATCCATTTCGGTTCACCAAGGGCAATGAAGAAATTCTCTTGCCTTTCGTATTCCTCCTCATCTACTATTTTAACCCTTACGGTTTTCCTGTAGGGACAACAAGAGAGAGAGTGTGTCGACTGGGTCGGTAGGTTGGTTGGTCACCTGGAGCACAGTCTTTAAAATCATCCCCCATCACTCTTGGCACATGCAGCCCGGTCCCGCCACAGTGGCTTTTGACAGGACTTTGGTGGATTGTGTTGTTCTCATATAAAAAATGGCCTTGGATTTTTTTTTTCCTCCTTGGTCATTGTTGTTCTTATGGGTGAGAGGGAAAGGAAACCAGGAGGTCAGGAAGGGAATGGGAAGGAAGAAGGAGGGTGATGGTGGGGAGGAGTCATTTCAGATCCTGCGATGGTTAGTAGAAAGTGAGTTGGGCAGTGCATTCCATTGGGTGTCACATGGTAACAGGGACAACAGGTAAACTACTGGCCCATTGGGAATGATCCAGGGCCCTTCCACACTGGAAACTAAATCTATCAATAAAACCCAGGACTTGTGTCTTTGCTATGTCTATACCCAATTCTCATGGGCACCCCATAAAGACAATTTGAAAAGACATATTATGAGGAAGGGAAATCAGAGAGAGAGAGGGGGGAGGGAAGAAGGGAAGGTGGAATTCTATGACTTTTCCCATTCTTTATCTAATAGGGAGCATCAGTGGTGGTAACGAAACTAAATATGTATTGACCACAATGTGATATAAAAATCCTTTTCTATTTGTAGCTGATACACTCCTAGAAAAAGTCTGAAGAAAGTGATGCAAATCATCAAATTCTAAATTGCATTTGAATGCCTATCATATAGGGTAGTATGTTCCAAGGCTGGTTCCTAAATACTGATCATTATGGATGCAGCGTACCAGGTAGTGGAAGTTTCTGCTCATTTCTGGGTGTCTCAATGAAGCAGAGTGTCTTTTAAAAACAAATCACTTGAGGTAGCAAAGTTTCCTTGAAAATGACTCTGCTGCAAAGACTGGCTGGAAGCTGGGTCAGGCCCATTGTCAGACAGAGGGGCCGCTGTGTGAGCCTGGCTCTTCCTGTGTGGCTTCTCCTGGTCCTTCGCAGAACCACAGTGGTGGTCCATGATCCCATTGGTGAATCGGAATTGTTATTTTCTGCTAGGCTTTTTTTGACCTGAGACTTGAATGTTCTCTGAAGGACAAAGAGGTGTTAATAAATGATAGCCTAAATACCTCCTAGGGTCCTTTGCTGTTCCTACTATATTCCGAAGACATACTCAGTTCTGCTACCTGTAAAGTAGCAGATTGATGTACAGTACTTGCTGTCCACTTGTGGTATGTTTGTATATGTGTGTGTGTGTGTGTCTTACAAGTACACTTTCTGTCACCTTTTGGTTACTTTTTTTTTTTTTTTTCCATAGGGTGCCTGCGCTCGCCAGAAAGATAGAGACAGAGAGACAGAAAGCGAGAAATCACCCCCCGGGGGGATGGCCATGCCACAATCCCTTCTCCTCTATTCTTCTCTCAGGATCTTGGGCACACACGCGCATGCACCCAGCGTGAGTTTTAAATCACCAGGTCCGAGACTCAAACTGTGGTCAACTACATGGGAGTCCAGCGACATAGCCATTACGCTAACTGTCCGTGTCCCTGGTTACTTTTTTTTTTTTTTTTTAACCTTTTCATTCTTACTCAGTGGACAAAAATGTGAACCTGTTTTTTTGCTGCAAGGACTCTGCTGTAGAATGGGAATGAGGTGCTCTGTAGCTATGGGCCTGACCTGAAGGGGCATGATTGACAGGTTGTCTGAGGAAGAAACACTGCCCCCAATGCTGGCTGTGCCTTCCTCCACAGTGCGGTCTAGGTAAGGATTTCCTGATATGCCCACTGGAGCCCATGGAACATAAGAAGTCATTTAAGTTCAAGGCAAAGGCTCCATCTACTCTGAGACACTCCAAGGACTTTTGGGGGGAAGCTTTCTCTCAAGTCAGTATCCTTTCTCCCACTCTCTCAATTCTCTGCCTCAATATCTAGAAGTTCTTAGAGAAAGTAGAACAGGGAGGTAGGTCTTTGACTGAGACTTAGAACTCAGATCTGTACTTTCAGCTCAATCAGAGTCCGAGAGAGAAATAAGCCTTGATAGTGGGGACATGGCAGATTAACAGATGGTGCTTGAGGCCTGCTTCAGTGAGTGGAATGAACCATGATCCAAATACATTGATTCTCAACTTCCTGGAACTATAACTTAGCCCTGAGAAGAACTGCCTCCTGGAAATCTGTACTGAGAGTCTATTTCCCATGCCCTCCTGCCTAGCACGGTGTTATGTGATCATTTTCTAAGTCATTCAGGAGAAGCTAAGATCCTCATATCTGATACTTTTAGGGGTCTGGCTAGTTCTCTCTCTCTCTTTCCATTCTCATTTCCTCATCTACTAAAAATCACCACTGGTCCTGAGCATCCCTTTGTGGATACCATGTGACAGGCTGGCAGGTGTTAGGACAGAACTGGGAGCAAAGAGAGGAGAGTGGAGAGGGAGAAGTGAAAAGAGCAAAAGAGAGAGTAGAAGAATTGGGAAAAATGAACAGAGAGGGAGAAGACAGGAGGAGAAGGAGACAGATGGATTAGAGAAAGAAAGAAGCAGAAGAGGAGAGAAGAGCGTTCATGTTAGTTTGGAGGACAGGGTACTACACCTTTCTGAAAACTCATATCCACCATGCGGGGGCCCATCATCTCAATGAAGTAATTCTTGTTTTTCTCATACGCCTCATCATCAATTACCTTGATGTGAATTGTTTTGCTGTGGATGGAAAAATAAGTATCATAAGCAAGGAGCAGAGTGGGAGGAAAGCCAGCCAGGAGAAGAAATAGGAAGAGAAGGAAATAGTGAAGAGGTCTGGAAAGGTCCAAGTTTGCCCCCATGTCACACAGAGCAGAGTGGCTACCCTGGGCTCCTCCTGGGCTTCATGTGGCTTCATGGTGTGATCATACTCCAATACTAGAAAGAGCTCAGGCTTGATAGCCAAAAGCTCTGGGTTCTAATCCTGGATATGCTGTGTTATATGAGACAAATGATTTAACTACTATACAAACAGAATGAATAATGCTTACACCATACAAGGGCAGTTGTGGGAACAGTGATATTATACAGTCATGCCTCACTTAAAGACAGGGACACAATTAGAGAAATGTATTTGCAGGTGAACTTGTCTTTGAGCAAATATTGTAGGGTGTATTTACCCAGCCCTAGGTACTATTGCCTACTCCACACTAGGCTTATGCTCTACAGTATACTCTTATGGGACCCCAGTCATATATGTAGTCTATGGTTGACTGAAACATCATTCTGTGGCACATGGCTGTCACCTTTTGGTTACTTATTTTGGTTACTTATTTATAGGTACATGGCTGTACATATAAAGGCTTGGGCATAAGGCCTCTTGTAATCTTTATTTCCTTATTCCCTTTGTTTTTGGGACAAGGAAGAATTTTTTGACTATCAACTAATGTTGATCCAAAAGGTTTGTATTATATAAACATCAGAAAGGGGAGAGAGATTGGCCTGTGGGAATCTTGCCTGGAAAGAAGAGAATTCCTCCCTTTCCGTAGGACAGTAACTATCACGGGGGAGCCAGGGATGCTGTTTGACCTAGGTCACACATTCTGGTAATCCACAGCAGGCTTCAGAAACTACCCACTAGCTCTACATAAGAGTCAATAGTCATAGGGATACATTGGCTGGGTCCCATGAACTCTAGGGTGCTCTGGATTGGATTAGTTTCTGAGTCCCACAACGATCTTGTGTTTGGTACAATTACACTGCTTTTTTTTTAATGTTAAAAGTTGCTATTTTATTCATGGAAACATTTAAAAATATGAACCAGTTTGGGGGCTGCAAGTGATGCTCTGCGAAGCTGACCTACATGGGAACGTTACCAGTTCACATCTGAAGACTTCCAGGACACACATGTGCTCATGATCCAGGGTGGCTGGTGGTGGGATGGATGGTGGTGTCAAGACCCTGTCCAGTGTGCTGTATCTCTTGCTCACTCTTTGTCTCTCTCACACATGGAATAAGTAAATTCAGACAAAAATGTCTAAAAATACAAATCAATTTTAGTAACCTGTTTCACATTTCATTATTTTTGCTTCTAGTTTCTTACTAAGAGTTTTATGGGCCAGCTAAGTAGAGTGCTGGTTAAGGAAGTTGGAGCCTACATGGCTGACTCCACAGTTTGAGTCCCAGACTGGCAGCTTGAAAAATCACACCAGGCACGTGTACATACATGCCCCAAATCCCGAGAGAATGGAGGATAAAGGATTAGGATATAGGAAGAAGGGTGTGGTCATCTCTTTCTCTTTCTCTCTCTCTGACCAGTGCATGTACCCTACAGCAAAACAAAATAAAACAAAACAGAAAACAGAGATAGACTTGGGCCTTTCTGAATTGCTGCTTAATGAAGGGACATTCCAGGACCAGACCCCAGTTAAGAGATTCGAACCTTTCCTGGAGAGTGTGAGGCATTGATAGACTGAAGTGAGCATGAAGCTAAGTCTCCCCTAGCAATGGAGATGAAGAAACTGAGCATAAACCCTAGACTGCTGTCATGGGCGTGCACCCTTTCCAATTCTGCTGTCCCAAGGCCTGGACTTTGTTGAGGAGATGGGGGCCTTCAGCTCTTCCCTTTACTCTTTTTTTTTTAATCTTTATTTATTTATTATTTATTTTAATCTGACCAGAGAGGGAGAGAGAGAGAGAGAGAGAGAGAGAGAGGGAGGGAGAGAGAAAGAGAGAAAGCAAGCACCCAGGTCCTGGACTCAAACCATGGTTGACCATGTGGGAGCCCAGCACCCTTAACCACCACACCTCCTGCTGCCTTCCCCTTCACTCTTTTTTGTAAAGTTGGAATATCTTTCCATCTAACTTGGGACAACCTGTCTGCTCTACTGAGTGTTCCCAAGTCACCATTAGAGCTTGGATGTCTATAGAGCCTCCATGGTCTATACCAGGGATCCTGCAGAATCAGCTCTGGGTTGAACACCCCTGAAGAGAAGTCACAGCAGTTACTAATATTTTCCAATCCCTGC